AAGTGGAAGAGAGAAGAGGCACAACCATATGATTTGTGGTTGGAACAGAAAAAGGACGTCTGATGTTCTCCTTCCTCCCCCTACCCTAATGTTCGGCGCTTGGAGACGGACGGTCTGCTAAACTTATCATTTAACGTAGAGAATCAAGTTGTTGAGACTGGCTTTTCTTCCAACCGGATACCTGAAGGGTGGAGCAGGCGCCCCCTGTTCTGTCCCAGCAACCTACGAAGACTTCCGAACAGGAAGGTGACACACAGCGGCGGGTGGATGGGGTATGCGGTGGGGGGGTTGGGGACGGGTAGGTAGACGAGGGAACGGTGCGTGACGCGCGCCTGTTAACTATGCACTGGCTTTAGGGTTGCCCTGTGGTCGCTATTCTTCTTCCTTCCCGTCGCCAGCCTCTTTCTTTGGTCCCGATAGTCTTCCTACCGGGAGGAATCCGGCCCCTTTCCTCTTACTCCCCGGTGGCGAAGTGGCCAGAGTTGAGTCACCAAATTCAGCTTGTAAATGCAACCCAGAGGGCGATCGCGTTCTCTGCGAGAACCGCTCCGGAGTGCATGATTTCCCCCCACTTCTCCTGAGGTTTAATCAGTTCCAGAGAGTTTCTCTGTAACACCTTGTGCAAAGAAAATATAGACGGCTTGATAGGAGATAGGCTAATTACCTTCCCACTCCCCCAAGCCAGTAATCTCATTTACGCCTCATAGTGGGGAAACTGCAATCAAAACACTCAAATGGAAATGATTCACCCAGATGTAAAGTTTGCACTGAAACAAATCATTTTCCAATGCGTGTGTATTTTCATGCTTCAGAAAAATCATTTTAGTTCTACTTTAATTTTCCTTCATGAGGGGCTGTAAATACTAAAACCTGAAGGCTTTGCTAAGATATGACCCTTTTCATTTAATTTGAGGGTTCAGGAAGGAAATTCCTGATATTTCTCTACATAGTGAAGTAAATATTTTGAAAATATTTTTACAAGGACCTAGTTATAGCCCCTCCTGGGCTACTTCTTAAATGTCTCTGCTAGACCATAGTCGTTTCATTCCTTAGATACAGTACCTTCCACGATAATAGGGCAATACAATTGTTTTGCATTGTCCAAAGTGCCAAATATTGTAGAACAATCTTGTGCACAGTTTAGGTTCCCATACGTATTGATTCATTCATTGATCCTCATAGAATCCTTTTCCTGGAGCATCACCAACGTAATTACACGGAAACACCCAAAACCATAACTATTACTTCAGAGAGCAACTAAGTCAATCAGTTTCTGCTAAAGATCGTCACCGAGCGCATGCCTTTTTTTTTTCTTTACAGTATTCGTCAAACAGAAAAGGATAAAAAATGAGTTTATTCATAATGGCTATTTTAGGTAAGTAATTAGTAGTGGTTAAATGTCTATAGATCACAGGTTCTGTAGTGATTATTATGTTCTGTATTCATAATTGTCAAAAGTGAAATGCATAAAGAAGATGAGAATGTGATCGAATAGATGATAAGAGAAGAACACAGTACTTAGAATAATAGTGTTCAGTGTTGTTAAAACCCACAAAACTACATGCTTTATTTATGCAGGGCTTAGTTCTTTTCCAAGACAGCGGTTTTGTTTGTTTTTTAAAAAAAAAATTTTTTTTTAACGTTTATTTATTTTGGAGACAGAGAGAGACAGAACATGAACAGGGGAGGGTCAGAGAGAGAGGGAGACACAGAATGTGAAACAGTCTCCAGGCTCTGAGCCGTCAGCACAGAGCCCGACGCGGGGCTCGAACTCACGGACCGCAAGATCGTGACCTGAGCCGAAGTCGGCCGCTTAACTGACTGAGCCACCCAGGCACCCCAAGACAGCGGTTTTGAATAAACAAGACTACACACTCTAAGAACCTTGAAATAGGGTTTTGCTAACTAATATACACGTAGCTGTCTAGTAGGGAGGCTTTAGGTTGTTTTCTCTAGCAGCACTTTTAAGTTATTAAGGATTAAGCAATTTTGGTTGCTTTCCTTCGGAGTTGAGCCGATGACAGGCAAACTTGTGAAGTATCAAAACTTGCTTTTGGGACCAAATGTATCTCCTTCCTATAACCCTTCTCTCTCACTGGAGTGAACTGCTGGGCCTCTCCACTTCCCACACACAGCACTGGCACACGCTGTGGTCCTGAAAACCCTGGAATATTGCCTTCTGCCCTCCTCTCCCCTAATGCCAACTGCCTCAAAGCCCTGCTCTCAGCTAATCGCCCGCAGGAGGTATTGACCTGATTCTCCTTCTCTAGCTCCCTGGCTTTCGCCCTCCTTCCCTCCCTGCCTCCCTTGCTCCCTTCTTCCCCCACCTTCCATTTGTACATGCAAGCATTTAATAAGGATTTATTAAGTAGTAAGTATAAATATTAAGATCAAGGGACACACATACGAGTAATCCAGTTATCTGAATGCATAGAAGCTGTCATTTTCGGTGGGGAGCATACGTGTGAATGATGAGGCACCAGGAGGAGTGTTACCCCATGATAAGTGTTAAAACAGAGGTTGGGACGATCTACCACAGGAGAGCGGAGAGAGGACTGTTCTACCGGGGAGCAGCAGCAACCATGTGCATATCGAGGGAAGTCGCCACAAAGAAATCATGTTTGGGCTGATCCTGGAAGATTCAGCTGGGAACAAGAGAGGAAAGTCATGCTAGGCAGAAGAAATAGCACGAGTGACTAACTCTCAGGTGCTATTTAGCACCTCTGGAACGCTGTGGAAATATGGTCCATATTCAGACCTTACACACAAGCACAGTGTAGAGCTGCTGTTGCTGCTGCAGTGGAGAAATAGCACTTTCAAGGGAGATAAAGATTCCAGAGGCACAAGTCTATCTCTCCCTTTCTCTGCCTCCCCCTCTCCAACCCTGATATACACGGAATTGATAATGTCTTAAAAATGCATTCATTTAAAGGACTGCCAAGCATTAGCCTGCATAGGTATCTTTGTGTCTAGTATAGCTCTAGATA